TTACATCATTGGGCAACTATAGTCGCCCACGGCGCTGAAAGGGTTAAAAAGCAATTGTCATTTTCCTTCACATATAAAGGACATTTTTTGTCCACCCATGCCCTTATAACATTTTCTGCTTTCCGCAATTTTTAAAGGAACTGATTTTGCAGAAGTGTGTCAGGTCGCCCTGACACTGCCAGCCCTGGAAGATCTAATGTGCAAAATATAAAATGAGCTTTCTTTTGGTACCCAAAATCAAGAACTGGTTTGGTATGTGGTAATATCAGAGAAGCAAATATCAAATTTTGCAAATGAATACTTTTCTCCTTCCAGCACCGAAACATTTCCTTGCCAATCTAAACCACTTTAATTGCATGTTCTTACCCAGGTTACCTTCCTTGACATCATATGTTATTTTTCGGTTGCTTAATTTTTACATTTTTAAAAAATTTTTAGCAGCTCTTCTCGGTTAATGGTTTGAACATTTCAGAAACTGGCGATCTGCCGGAATTGTACTGTACAACCATCTCTAGAGTTAAAAGTGGCTGCTGAGGAAAAAATTCATGAAAAACATCCTATGATGGCTAGAATGGTTCAAACTGACAGGAAAGCATCAGTAACTCAAATAACCAGGCGTGAGAAAACAGTGTTATGCAGACAGGCATCTCTGAATGCACTACATGTCAAACTTTAACTGCAGCAGCAGAAGGCCATACCAGCTTCCGCTCCTGTCATCTAAGAACAGGAAATGGAGGCTACAGTACTTTTGGGCAAAGGCACACCAAGATTGGATAGCAGAAGACTATCCAATCCAAAATTTTTGATTGGGCTGACATTGCCGTCATTAACTTTGCCATGATCTCTGTTGCAATATGTAGACCATTTGCCCAGAATTTGATGGATCTATTAATGTGTATTAATTAATGTATTAATCTTATATCAATGGTGTGGCTTAGGGAGGTGGTGTCATGGCATGGTGAATATTTTTTGGCGTAACTTAGGCCCCTAAATACCAACTGACCAACAATTCACAGCCTCCCTGAATACTGCTGCTGACCATCCCTTTGTGGTCATACTTTCCCATTTTATAATAGTTACCTCTAGCTGAATACTGTGCCATGTCACAATGTACATGTCATCTCAACCTGTTCCATGAACATGGCAATGTGTTCGGTTAACCTCAATGACCTCTGCAGTCATCAGATCTCAATCCAAAAGAGCACGTTTTGTTAGTAGAGGAATGGGAGACTCACTGCATCAATGTGCGGCCAACGACTATGCAGAGGCAGCATGATCCTCACTATCAACATGACATGAACCTTTAGGGAGGTTAAGGAATGCTTCCAAATTCCTTGTTGAACCTGTACCAGCATTGGGGTCAAAGGGCCATTATCAGAAACATGGAATACTCAATCTGGGAGAAGAACCATGAGTTTACTTCACTCAAGGTTCTCAACTTGTGGAAGAGTACTTGCCCCCTTTCCGACTTCTTCTATTTTTGCACATTTGTTCCTATGAGATGTTTTAGATCACCAAACTTATTTGAATATTTGACAAAGATAACCCGAGCAAACTCAAAATGTATCTCTCAAATGACGATTTCATTTATTGAGGCTATCCAATCCTACCTGGCCCTATGTGGAAAAAATAATTGCCCCCTTTGCTAACAAATTGACTAATTAGTAAACTAATTAAATTGATAATTGGGCTGAATTTCACCAGAAACAATGAGGCATGATTTCTGCCAACCCTGATGATTCTAAATATCATTTCATTAGTACCTGTCTGGCAATGTGAAATGGGCAAAAAGCAACACATGATGGTGTGATCAAAAGAAATTCAAGAACTGATGAGAAACATCTGTTAATAACATCTGTTATTTGCATAGATCAGTCCATAAAGGTTTAGAAAGCTATTTCTAAGGCTCTGGGTCTCCAGAAAATGATGCTGGGGATTATAATCAATAAAAGGAGAAAACTTGGAACAGTAGTGAACCTTCCCAGGAGTGGCCCGCCTTCCAAAATTCCTCCAAAAGTGCACTGATGACACATCCAGTAAATCACAAAAAATTCAGACTAACATCTAAAGAACTGCAGGCCTCACTTGCCTTAGTTAAGCTCAGTGCTCATGATTCCGCTATCAGAAAGAGACTGGGCAAAAATAGCCTCCATGGGAGAGCAACAAGGTGAAAACCACTGCTGACCAAAAAGAGCGACTCGTCTCACATTTGATGAAAACATCTAGATGGCTCCCAAGACTAATATTGATAGTATATCATGGACTGTTGAGTCAAAAGTTGAACTTTGTGGAAGACATGGGTCCCATTTCATTTGGCATAAAGCTGACAGAGCACTCCACAATAAGAAAATCATTCCAACAGTCAAACACGGTGATGGTTGTGCGATGGTCTGGGGCTGCTTCGCTGCTTCAGGACCTGGGGGACTTGCTATGATTGGTGGAACCATGAATTCTGCTCTCTCTCCGAAACGAGAATGTCTGGCCATCAGTTTATGACCTGAAGCTAAGCACAGTTGGGTTATGCTGCAGGATTATGATCCGAAGCACACTACTTCTCAATGACTCAAAATAAACAAAATGAAGGTCCAAGTCTTGACTTGAACCCAATTGAAATGCAGAAAGCAGGCAGTTCAAACTCAAAATCCTCCAGTGTGGCTGAATTACGCAATTCTGCAAAGAAGAGTGGGCCAAAATTCCTCTACAGCAATGTAAATGACTAATTGCCTGGTATCGTAAATGTTTGATTGCAGTTGTTGCTGCCAAGAGAGGTAAAAACCAGCTATTAGATTTAGGGGGGCAATTATTTTTTCACATTGGTGATATACATAGGTTTTTAGTCACTCCTTACTCTTTCAATAAATGAAATGATCATTTAACAGCTGCATTTTGGGTTGTCTTTGTTGTCTCTGTCTAAAATTGAAATTAGTTGGATGATCTGAAACTTTAAATATGACATACAGTATAAGCAAAAATGAAAGAAATCAGGAAGAGGGCAAATACTTTTTCACTGCACAGTAATCAAAAGAGCATACTTTTTCCAACCAAGCTCGTCAAGCAAGGTAAGCCACCCTTTCAACCCAGGTCACGTTCATCCTCTCTATGTTTCTGCTGGCAGTAAATTCTCTTTTGTCTAGGCCAGAGAGCTAAAAACTCCCTGAATTCCCATGGCGATTTCCACTTTCTGCTCTTACAGCTTCTGCATCCCTAACAGGGGCAAATCTAGTAGCGGGCAGAGATGGGCATTGTCCTCTGTGTGTTTTGAATCCAGCATTCATGTTTATTTACCTTGCCCCAATAATATGTTCATTTTGTGACAACTGGACGGAAAGAAAAAAAGTTATTGGGAAGTGGAGATGCAATGCTGATTTCTAAAAATTTATTCTGTCACGGTTGCTTTAGCTTGTTATTTGTGCCTGGAACCTCTGAGGAGGAAGGGGCAGAGGTTTTGGAATGGTTATGTTGAGTTGGTATGGGTGAACAGTCTTATTGTGTGAACTTCGGTGAAACCTTGGAGCTGTCATCTCTCCCTTCCAGGAGAGTCACACAGCATGTTCCAGAATGGAGTGAAATCTGAGAGGGAGAAGTCTCAGCAGAGGCCAAGTTGGCCTTTGGCCAAATTTTGGAGAATACAACAAGTCTAAAGGTATTTTGACACACCGCAAACTCCCACCAATCCATTTTCAAAAGAGAGAGGAGAGCAGGTGTTTGAAGAAAATACAGCTGCACTCTGCTGATTTCAGAGTGGGAAGTGTTTAAATCAAGGCAAAGTCATACAAGAATACAGTTCAGAGATTGTGGTAAGTGGGAAGTAGGTGCTGAGTTGCATCACTTAGTAAAGACGAGTGATAGAAAAGCAAGCCCTGTAATACAAGTGTTGGTGCTTCTTCTGAATTATGTCACCTTGGAGTAGAGTTTTAACAGAAGGATGAGCAGATATATAGCTACTTTTGTTCACTCGAAAGACTCAACACACACCATAATATGATGACATGTTTATTAAATGTTGCATACGAGATTGCCTGTATCATGTTTCAAAGTGCAGCAACCTGATGAACAGATTATTACAGCGTATAGGACGCATATGTTATACATTCTTAAGCGTAACATTTGACAATAAACCAGTATATAAAGTTTAGTAAATAACTGCTGAGTTCATCGATGGGTTGTTTCAATCGACTCGTATACAGTATATGCATGTTTCTGGTCTTACTTGATTTGTACTGGATAAAATTTTGAAAACATGCATTGTCAGAGCAATTTTACCATCCCTGAAAATGGATTGCTCTGCACAGATCATTTTACCACATTGCAGATAGTGATAGAGTCAGCATAATCCTTCTAAATATTAATTCTGATACTGTTAAGACATGTTCCAAAGGAAACTAGAATGCACTCAGAGTGCATACCTCTGCCAGCTCATTTGGAACTTTACTACTATCTAGTAGATTTTAGGATGTAAAGAATTTATTCCAAAAAATATTGAAATTGATCTAAAATTTTGAGAGATATCACCTGGACAAACAAACAAACAAACAATTGTTACCTAATGCCAGGGCTGGCCAATCCTGTTCCAGGAAACCTGCCACCCTGCAAGTTTTCACTCTAACCCTAACAAAGCACAACACATAGCCAAAGATCTTGATAAGATGCTAATTAAAAGGTGAGCCAAAGTAGGTGTGAAATGAATACTTACAGAATAATAGATCTCCTGGAAGATGATTGGGCAGCTCTGCCCCATGCTATTATACAACATGGGCATTAATTTATGGTGCTAAGGCCCCATTAAAAATGAATAAATAAATAAATAAATAAATAGTTTATCATACCCTGCATCAAAATTCGTGGCCTTATCAAAATTTTTGAAATAGTATTTTTAGTATCGAAAAAAGGGCAATCGGTGTAATGATCTTAGCAGTTAGCGCAAATGTACCCATTGACAGACATTCAGGTCATTTTCTTGAAAAAGTTATGTGCCTGTGCTGTTCTCAGATGAATGCCATGAGATGGTGGTGCAGTGGTTAGCACTGTTGCCTCCCAGCAAAGAGATCATGGGTTTTTTTAATTTTTATTTTTGGTAATTTTTCCTTTATTTGATAGTTATACAGTGTAGAGAGACAGGAAAGTTGGGGAGAAGAATGGGGGATGACACGCAGCAAATGACCCAAGCCGGATTCGAACCCAGGTTGCTGCAGGAAGGACACAGCCTTTATGGTGCGCGCACTTAAACCGATGAGCCACCAGGGCGCCCCGAGATCATGGGTTTGAAGCTGGCCTGGGGCCTTTCTGTGTGGAGTCTGCAAATCCTTTTGTGCCTCCGTGGGTCTCCTCCAGGTGCTCTGGTATCCTCCCCCAGTCCAAATGCACATCAGGCTCATTGGAGCCTAAATTGCCCATAGGTATGAGTGTGTGAATGGTGTGGGCACCCTGTGATGGATTGGCAAGCTGTCTAGGGTGTGTCTCTGCCTTTTCCCCATAGTCAGCTGGGATAGGCTCCAGATCCCCCGTGACCCAAGTGAGGAAGAGGTGGCATTAACAATGGATGAATGGAAAAAAAACTTGCCCACCCCCATCACATTTTTCAGTTAAAATTAGTTTTTTACTGCAATTTTTTCCGTTAAAAGGATGATAAACTAATTTTTTTTATGGGACCTAACAAGATAAGTTGACTGAGTATAACATGGAACCAAACTGGTCCTGGTTTGACCGAGAGAACCTGTCCTGCAAACACCATCATTTTTCTCCAAAATACACCCTCCAGAAATGAATCCTGGACCGAAACTTACAGAAACACTCGAATATTTCCATACAACAATACCATTATACATCACTAGAGGGCACTGAACAGCGCTCCATTATATTGTACCCATTAATCAAAATGCTCTTGGTGTCAAGCTTTTCTTCTTTTTTTTTTTTTACAGTCGTGGCGTCACAACATGAAAGTGGGAGAGTAGGGGAACATAAATAGCCATTGATGGTAACCACAAATTTGAAGAGACAGCTCCATGTGCCCTCCTGCTCCACTCAATCTCTTTTGCAGCCTGGCGTAAGTCCTTAAAATACTTTCCTTGCATTAAACTGACAAAAGTCGCAATAATTGGTCTGTTAGTGGAGTATGCGTTTTTCAGTGCTGTACACAGAATTAATGGGTCATATAAAAATCTTAGAGTTTGACCTCTTGCAGTGATTTTGTATGGAGCCACATTTTTGACTTGTATTGAATGTCAGTTTTAAGTGGGGATTCTCTCCAAACTGAGAATAGATAGTTGTCATTCGGGTATGTAAACAATGCAAACGCTTGAAATCTATTGGTTAACACCACAGTCACAAGCTAAATAAAATTTTAAAAAAGCTTTTAATACCAACAATATTACTCGATTGCGGAGAATATGCCGTTGTTCAGCTGAATTTACGCAGGCTACATTGTGCAATGTGTATTTCATGATGAGAACCAACAAATCTCAGTGATGACAACGTGTGCCTTAATCAGCCTATATGGTGTTTTTCTTTTCAGAAAACATTACCATAGAGAACACAGTAAGGAAAACTTGGCTGGAAAGCTGCAGAGTGGACATTGGGGTGTTTTCTTTTTCCTTCTAAGATGTTATTATTCTTTGCTTCCTAGCTTGGAGGTTTATCCAAGGGTGTTTTTTTTTTGGGGGGGACAAATAAAACAATAAAGAGCCAGTGGTCAAATATATTCAACTGACAGCCATTTTGTGTTTTCCTCTTAACCACATTTTACCATAGCTAAAGCCAGTCCAGCACTTGAGAAGTGGAAAAAGTGAAGTGGGCAGTCCCCCTAAACTGGGCTGGTAAATCTTAGTGAAAATGTCAATAAGACGAAAGAAATGCAGGAAACCCCACCAACCTTGCCAAGTTGGTCTTGTTTCCAGGTCAGTAGGAGACATGGGCAAGAGAAATGAGAGGATGGTGAGGACTGCTTGCTGAGTTAAGTGAGGGGGGTCCTGCTGTCTATAGTGACCCAGGTATATCTGCGCCCTGGAACGAGCTGGGATGGGTGATCTGATGAAATGCTGGGCCGCTGTCTTAGCCAGGGCTGGAATGTTGAGGACATCACAGAAGCGATCTCTCTAACCAAAGGCTCACTCATTTCTGCAAGCCCTCAAAAGCCAAAGCATCGCTCACCCCTCCCGCGATCAGTCTCGGTGTCACTCGCAGACTCCTGCAGTTGCTGTGAATCAGCCTTGATCCCCTCATTGCATCTTACATCCTCACATACCAAGCCTCACACGGTCTCCACAAGCCTTCCCAAGCCTCACCTGCAACCTCCGGCCGTCATCGTGAGTTCAAGCCTTGCCCGTCGCCTCTCGTAGTCGCAGTGAGCCCTTCCGAGCCAGAGCCACACTGGTTACCACCTGCAGTCATCACAAGTCCTTCTAAGCTGGAGCCTCACTTGCTGCTTCCTCCAGTTGCCGTGACCCCTCACCAGCTGGAGCTCCGCTCATTGCCTGGGAGCCGGAGACTACCTGGCTATCTCCTGCAATTTCGGCGAACTGGAGCCTTGCATGTGGCAACCTGCAGTTGAAGGAAGCCCTGGTGAGCTGGAGTCTCGTTGCCGCCTGCAGTCGCCACGAACCCGAATCAACCCCATTTATCGTTTCCTTCAGTTCTTGTGAGACTGAGGTCCAAAGTAACTGCAAGGTCTCCCAAACCAGAACCTCACCTCACTTCTTGCAGTCGCCACAAGCCAGGGCCTCGACCGTCCGCTCTTGCGATCATTGCATGCCCTACTGACTCAGTGCCTCCTTTGTCACCTCCTGCAGTCGCCTCAAGCCCCGGTGAACTGGGGTCCTGGTCACTGCTGCCAGCGGTCGCTGTGAGCCAGTTCCAACTCAAACTTCTCTTGTTGCTGCAAGCACTCCTGAGCTAAAGCCTCGCTTATTGCTATGAGTCCACTCCTGCCAGATCCTGGTGTGTCATTGGGGGTCTTACCAACCTTGCTCCTGTCCTTAAGCCCTCCTTAGCCTCTCTTGTTGCCAAAAGCCCGCTCAAATCAGAGCCTTACTAGTTGGCCCTCCTGAGCTACACCCAACATCATAGGACTCCCAATGCTCAGTGGTCCCAACCATGCATAAACTAGAGGCCACAACCTGCCACCCCCACACCACCTACTGGTAGGGTGTCAGGATTTGTTGCAACTAATAAATTAACAGGTTTTTGCACTAAGTCTTAATTTTTCACATTAATTATTAAGGGGTACTCACAATACTGCAATGTTATAATGCACCCACAACAATATCAGATTTTGGCCATCCAGTCAAGAATGTGGGCCATCCACAAAATGGCATTGGGATTGGCTGAGACACAGAAAAAATATCAATGTTAAAAAAAATTATGTTTTATAATGGAGAGCTGACTCTAACATACACAAATATGTAAATGTTCTTCATAATTCCACTGAACCAAGAGCCTTGCATTATGTAATAACACCACACCTCACCTGCCAATTTGGCTGTCACAAATACTGACTAACCACTCAGCAACTGACTTGTAATACCCAAGCGAAAACCTTTTGAGACAATATCAACCAGCCAGAATGACCACAGCAGTGACATATTAACACCCAAGAAACTCTCTAGGGTCACCTTAGCAACCACCCGGCAATACTCTGTCAACCACCAACAACACCACAGTAACCACTTAGTCATGCCTCAACAAACACCTTGTAACACACTGGCAGCCATCAACAACACCCTTGCAAACCACTGCAACCACTTTTTAGGCTAAAGCAACCACACAGTTACACCCTCACAACCAACTGGCCGGAGCTACACTATACAGAAGCAGACTCAAAACACAATGTTACAACCATCATGCTTTGCGGTCAGTATATCCCCCTGAGATGATGGAAACAAAACTGAAGACATGAACTCCTTGCAAAAAAAAAAGTATTCAAGTCTGTCAAAATTATGCCAAAAAGTACAAAAAAAGTTCAGTCACCCCAAACCATGTGGGAAAATGTGTAATGGTCTCAGAAGACAAAGCTTGACCAATGAGATTATAGTGTTTGTTTCCACAAAGTATAAGTAAGGGTGTGTGTGCAGACTATGGTGTTGCAGCAGGTAATATCTCCTGTATAATTAGCAATTTATTTTTTCCCATTCTGATTTCAGCTAGTTGGAAGGCTAGAACAAAGATAGAAAAGGCTGAAATGTATGCTGTTGTTGCTCTAAAAACATACTATTTCAACAAGATTGCGTAAACTTCGTAGCTTCCACTGCAAATAGAGTCATTAGGTTGACAGAAAAGGCATAGCTTAGTTCCTGTTTGGTCATGGGAAATAATAGTGAGAGAAACAAACGAGCACTTTATGGTCACCTCAACTGAGGTAAGTTACTGTAGCCTACAATGCAAAATGAGCAATCAGTTCCAGGCTATATGGACATATGGAGTGTGCTGCCACTAAGTTACCATCAAATCATCCGTTGCCGCTGGAGATATTTAAAGGGGCACTGTCATGGCCAAGAATGTGTAGTGGATGCTGATTAGTACTAAGAGAGACTGTACAGCTGTCCGCAATCTTGGTTGGTAAAGTATAGAAATATCATCAGATAAATGTAGGCAATTTAAAGTACAGAAGTAGGAATACTAATTTTAGAGAACATCAGCCTGTGAACAATATCTGAAATCAATTTAGCAAAATGCATTAGTTTTAATGTGGCCTATGATGCTAATTTATAGTTTACTGGTCCTGAACTTTGATGGATGGAAACAAGGAAGCAAGTACTGTAGTTACACGAGGCCCGCCCCCCTTCTCTCTCCTCTCTCTCTCTCTCTCTCTCTCTCTCTCTCTCTCAATAAAATTCTATAACTGGATGGAGTTCAGTCAGGCTAGTTCCACTTTGGCTCATTTGTGAGTACGTCAGACTTTTTTTTTTAACTTGGTAATTTATTTACTATGTCACCATGCACTTTTCCTGAAATGTGTTGACATTTTGCTTACAATATGCCAACCAATCTGCTCTAGCTCTTATGAAAATCTGGGTGTATCCCTTGTGCTTCTTGCGCACAGTATATATGGGTGATGTACAGGTAACCTCAGAGGCAACATTTTTTTTTTATTCTATATTTAAAAAAAAAGGAAAATACAATGTGTAATAATGAAAAGTGCCATAGTTTTAAGTAATACCATGCACACATATGGCAAATAAGTTTTGGTTTGATATTATA